GGGTGGGGGTGGGGGTGGGGGTGGGGGCGGCTAGGGTGAAGCCGACGGCGTGGGCGGCTGGCGCCGGGCTTTAACACGCCGAGGCAGAATCCGAATTACGGCTGCGGCTCGGAAATCGACGTGCCAGGCTGCGCGTCCTTTCGGTAACTATTATTCTCACGACTATGGGGCGATGGCGGTGCACGGCCGTACTTCCAAGTTTAAGCTTCGTGAATGTTCTTTATCCCCGGCTGTCGAGTGGCCTGATACCATGGGGTCGAGCCGCGGGTCCATCTAAGCTTTTCTCTTTATCCGCACCCCCCGCCGGCGACAACGTACTACGACAGAGTTCCGTTATCCCGTCTGGAAGCTTCAGTTTGCCTTCGCGACAACGTCCCCAATCAATGCCTGGGTAGAGCCGCCCCGGCCTCAGTTGTTACTACTTCCTAAGCTATATTTATGCTCGAACAATCCCTTTCACAAATGCGCCGACATCCCTCTCTTTGCCCAAAGTATCGGACTCACTGCCGACGGTACGAGCCGAGTCCAACTGCGTCCACTCTCTCCCGGTCAGACGCCAGGGCTCGGGGCCCCAACCCTGTCTCCTCAGTGCCTCCCCTCGAGGCTATCGACCGTGCAGTCGGCTGGAACTTGGCCAACCCGACAAGGAGGTTCGTGTTCACAGTCTAACTTCTATATATAGTTTGAAACTGCCGCCAAGCTGGCAAGCGGGATGCCGGCTACGGTTCCGACCCCCTATCCCCGGCGAGCTGTTTTTTTATTTAATAGTGTCTGTTAGTAAGGCCATTTTTCTGAGTACCGTACCTTCTGTGTCCGCGTTACATCCTCCACAGAAACCGCGACCTACATTCTCTACCACGCATTCTATCCATTCGTGTGCTGCCCCTTGCGTGGAAGACTATGTCTAACGTATCCTGTTTCTAGAGTAACTGTTCCGGCACTCGCAGGTGTGTTTGATCGGAAACCCATGGAAAACTAAGCTATCTCTAAACCACCAACATCCCAATAATCCAGATTATCAACGCTTAATATATTGCAAATTATTTTTAGGCTTAATTAAAGCTGTGTATACGCCAAATTTTTAATCTCTTTGTATTTCCGCAACAATGTTGGGCCCTGTCTACCTTAGACTAGAGGTTAGCAGCGCCCACCTAAATAATCCATCTAAAAAATTGATATTCTAAAAACTACTATATTTGCCTTGGGAAAATCCCTTTGCAAACTTTCTTAATTTGTTGAAATATTTCTGCATATTTTGAACATGATCATTTATTCGAACATTTTAATTTCAAGAAGAACGATCTTCCTTGAGGAAATAGATTCTTGAAGCACATGACTCGCTTTGTCATAATGGTTGTATTTCGGTAGGTCGTTTTACATTTTTTATTGCCTGGCGGGGGTTGTGGGGGGAGGGTGGGTGTTCTATCGGAACCCAACCTTTTTTTTGGAGAATTATCCCTAAACCATAAGCAAATATTCGAAAAAAATCAGACTCAATCGTCTGCTCCACATTTGCTCAACCGCTAGGTCTCGGTCTCGTTTACAGAAGGGGCGGGGACTGTAGATGCGAGTCGGCGTGGACGGCTGCCGCGCCGCGTACATTCGCGTGTGAATGGAGCTGCTGGCCTGAGGTGATAATGAAACGCCCCGCGTGCAGAAAGTCCACCCGTCCGGCGGCGGCGGCCTGCGATTTAAGAGGCGTGGCAGCGAGCTGGGCACCTTAGCTAGCTTTTCCACTAGAGTGCTTCCCAGTCCTGCATCTTCCTCGCTGTAATAGATGCGGTTTTTCAGGCTCGTCTGCTTGGTACGATGCGCCTTAAAAAGCAATTAATATGAAGTAGACATTTAATCACTAGTGATATTTCAATCTAACCTTATTCCTCGTGGAAAAGAAGTTCAATTTAGTCACATTTAGAATTAACACGTATAATTCTGTTTCTTTTTGTCTGTAGATTTGAAATTTTATTAATTGTTTATTTTTGTATGTGTCGTCGATTGGCTGCAAAGTGAAACAGGGGTGGAAGTACGAGAAGCGTCACCGTGAACGTTAACGGGCATCTTCTATGCGAACAGGCAGTGCAATCTCGCCCGAGCAGTAACGTGCTTGCTGACTGGGCGCGCGGGTGGGCGGGCGGACGGAAGGGCCAGCATGCAACGGGTGGGTGGGGAGGCCAGGTGGGGCGGCAGACGGATGGGTGGTTGATTGGACGGACGGACTAGTGGACAGGCGCGTGGACGGGCAGTCGGACGCACGGACCGGTGGGCGGATGGGACGGATGGGTGGGTGATGGACGGGCGGGCGGGTGAGTGGACGGATGGGTGGGCGGGCAAAGGTTGAAGCCGGCTAGCGAATAGGCCGGAAGACGGATGGGCGACTGTATGGAGCGGTGGAGGGTGGGGGGATGGGCCGGCAGGTTGGGGCGGACGGACAGTGGGCAGGCGGGTGGAACGGGCAGTCGGAACGCAACGGAAAGGTGGACGGAGGACGGGTGGGTGGTGGATGGACGGTCGCGCGGGCAGGTGGGCGTACGGGCGGGGACCGTCGCCCCCGGGCGGGTGGCGCCGAACTACGTCTGTTTTCGTCTGCGGCGCAGAACTCCGACGCATCGGCGCGCGCGGGCGTGAACTCGCCGCAGAGCGAGGCGGAGGGCGCGCTGCCGCTTTCATTCCCTTGGCGACGCTCAGCGCACCGAAATGTCACTCAAGGGGCCCTAATCAAGCACATTTCACCCATTCTCTATTAACGTGCAATAAATGAGTTTTAAACTGCGTTTCGCTCAAACGTGTTAAAAAATACTAAAACGCGCAACACGGGTGCGAGGCGATTCCTCACTACGCTGTTCCTCGCTATCATCTGTCTCGCGCCCTTGTTTTCCGTGTGCGAACAAGCTAATTTTTTCACAGTGCGCGAAACATCTGTAACGATTTACAATTCTCTTTCGTCTTGACGACGTGTTTGTTTTTTATTTACAAACAATAACGATACGACACTGACTGGAACCTATTTACTTTTGTACAAGTAAGGTATTTGTAGTTATTCGATAGTGAATTTATATCCCTTTACTTTAAGCATTGCGTCTCCCTCACTGTGTGTTAAAAAAATAGTACACGCAACACGGGCGTGAACTGATTCCTCACTACGTGCGTAACTCAAGTCGTGCGTGAAGCACCTGTTTCGCGCCCTTTTATTTTGCACGGCGAAGCTTTACAGCAATTGACAGCACTATTGATCTTCTGCGCACGCGCGGTTCAAGTTTCGCAATACTTCCGTGCATCAGCGTTCGCGCAGAAGATTGCAGTCGATCTCTGTACGCAATGCCGAGCGAAAACTCTCTGTATATATTAGTTATAATTACAGCAAAGAATTTAACCTCCCTCCTAAAACGCTAATGACCGCTTACACAGCATTTTATTAGCGAACTCGTCGAAAGGTCACAGGTTCGAGGCCTGCTTACACGTTAATATTAACCCGGGAGTAGTTGCTCACTATGCTCGCTACGTATCGTGTTTCCAATCATAACATTCAAGTTGAGCGTGCTGACTGACACCCAGAGGAATGATTCAAACGATGGGTCACAGCATCAGGGACTACGAGGGCTTGGGAAGGGCAGGTCATCAAAAGGACCGTGCGGCTGAACGCTCCCCGATCCACCGTGCATACATATATACACTCACGGTCATATTACATTGAACATCACACAGTCCTAAGTAGGGATGCGACACCATGCCCATATTTTTTATCATTGATGAATTGTGATCGAAGTTTTTTACTTTTCCGATATTTTGTTTCTGAATGAACAATTCCTATGATCACAATTCTGAAAAAGTTACAATATGAACCAATAACTGTTGGTAACACGTAGTGCATATGTTGAAACCAAATGAATGCTATTTGTACTTCCGTCCGCGATCAAACTCTCGCCCGAGATGACCTTCATGCCCTTGAATTTCCTCTTTCCTCATATTTATTTCGCACATTGAGATGAGGTTAACAAATACTCTCTGGTTGTAGGGTCTGCCCCTTCTCATATTTTTATTCGGCGAATTGATAAACACAAACCCTGTCAAATTAAATTTGAATGCACAACAATTTAATGTTAGAGGTTACTAAATCCGTTTAAAAACATCCATGTTGAAAAATATTGATAGTTTTTAGTCGATGTATTTTTAACATCAGTGTTTTAATTTTGAACATTGATGTTTGATACAACGATGTTTGGTTATTGATAACGCATCGCTAGTCCGAAGACAAGGTCCATTTTAAATGTACGATTTAATTGTGTCGGTATTACATTTGGCTTCCATTGCTTTGCAACCGTCGTTTCTGTTCATCACGCTTTATAAGTAGTTCTACATTTTGAGTGAGGGTTTGTTCTACAAGAAGTGGTTTGTTGTTCAAAGTTCGCCAGTTCCTTCAACCGTTCAACTAAAAGGCCGTCAACCACCGTTCTCTCTTCCACCTCGGCCAACAACTCGTCCGTTCTCCTCGCCCTCTCCGACGATTCCTTCCATCTCTCCATCCCTCCAGCTATTCATCTCCCTCTGTCACGCCCTCCCTTCCGCCCTCTCTTCATCAATCATTGCATTCCTCCATTCACCACTCCCCATTTGTATTAGCGTAGAACCAGCTGCCGCTATCTCTGCAGGGACTGGACAGCAGGTTTCAGAGTTAGAGACCCGACGTTACTATTCTGCGGTAAGATTGAATTCAGCGATTGTCTGGAGGATACTCCTAGTGGGCAGTTGCTCACATCAGTAGTTGTCTGTGGTTTCTCGGTTCAACACCAGGCGAACGCCAGACCAGCAAACAAACGGGTTGACGACGGGCCGCCCGTGACCTTTCTTTCCTCTTTCATTTCTTTTGCGTCTCCTTTTACTCAAATTTACCCTTACATACACTTCACTACCACACGTACGCCGGGCGCCTACCCCGGTTGGGGAGATCTTGCGCAAGCTAACGTGTCTCACATCCATCTGTGGAGGAACTTCGGCCACTTTGCGGCATCAAACAATCAGTGAACTAACGGGACTAACGACCATCCACCAATTCATCCAGCAACCCAGCCCGTGCTCTACGTCCTTCCATGCAACCAGTTCTTAGGCTAGGGTAATAGTACTGCCGAAATACCAGAGGACTGCGAAAGAAATCGTCTGACTTATTTCATCCGAAAAACACCCAATGTTGCACCCGAAATTTTCCGAATATCCCGGGAATTCCGCAGTCCATGGTTTGAAATATTTTCGATAAGCCATACTAACAGAAGGTATTGGATAAGCACGTTCAAAACCATCTACAAGTATTGAAGGTGGTCTTGGTATTACAGATGGCCTTGACTCTTAGGTGGATATCGGGCGAATGGAGCCGGCTAAATCAAACGAAAAAGATCTTCGTTCGACTGCTGAGGATCCCGGACAACTTCGAAAGTGGTCGTTTGGGTTCAACATGCTCGTTTCCATTAACTAGCACATGTTTGGACGAATCGGGCACATCGGGCGCAAACGGGTCCACTGGCCAGATAGACCAAAATCTGCTCCACTGTGACCGCCGCTTTAAACAATCAATACATCAATCTATCCGTTCGTTCGTTCTTTGTCAGTCCGTTCGTTCATTCGTTGGTTCTTTTCTCCCGCAAACGAGTGCTCGACTGGGGATGCGAGTGTTTTGCCGCCTCTGGGGCGTGCGAGGCAGGCAGCGCGCCGGCTGCCCCGGGCAGCACGCACTCTCGCCCGCCCGTACGCGCGTTTTCCGCCAGGGCGCTCTGGGCAAAACTAGCTGTAATTAATGGCTTCCAGGCGGCGCCTCGTTTAATGTCTACTAATTTACCTTTGACGTTTCATGAAATCGTGCCGACTGGCCTCGGGATAACTCGATAATGGTAATTAAAAATAATAAACCCGTTTCCTCGATAGCATGAAATTGCTAAATCCAAATTATATGAGCTACAAATTTTGGCTTTTGTTGCTCTCAGAGAAACAGACCAAAAGAATGACGCTAACGATAAAACCACTTTTAATGCTAAAACATTTTTTATTCTGTCATTTAAAATCCAGTAACTCGACTGTTCTCATCTATACACAATGGTAGGATCTGAATGATCGATGACCTTCATTTAAAATTAATAAACGCATGTAAAGCCTTTGAACTGAACTCTGTGAATGAATAAATGAATAAACGATTAAACGAAATAATGAATGAATAAATAAAACTGTAAAACATGCAATTCTTTACCAAAACGTTTGTCAAAAATAAGAATCAAAGACATTCGAGAAAATAAAGAAATGTGAAGTTGAAATATTTTTATTCTATCCTGTACTCTTGAATGTTAGATAGCTACTAACACTTATTAGAAACTTATCAAAATAAAGGGTGATTTTTGAATAATTTTCAATCAAGCTAGTTGCAAAATAATCTAAACGATAACGTGCGGTAAAAAATTCTTCGCCTTTATTGTACTCCAGATAAAAAATGTAGCACAAACATACGTGAAACAATTACTGTCTGAACAAAAAAGTGATGACACTAGTTCCGTGCAGCGAATTCTTTTACTTCAAGAGAGAGAAAATTCCCTACTTCTTTCCACAGGCTGTGGAACTAGCCGTGGATACGATAGTTCACAAATATCCAGAGAATGAAAATATTTTTCTAGTGTTTCTAAGTTTCACTCTTAGTGCAAACAAGTGCCAAAGCAGCACGCGCTTTTTATTAACGTCAGTGTTTTTGTCGTATTTCGGCATTGTAAAAACGTTAAAACGCTCCCTTCGACTGCGTTTGCAGTTTCACACTTGAAATGAACCAGGGATGAGAACGTTTCCAGAGTTCTGTTAAACCATTTAAAGCAAAAATGGCTAACATTTGGTGCATCAAGGAGCTTTAACTTCTATTGCTCAAAGAATATTCCAGTAATAATAATACAAAACTCAAATCTCTTGTCACTTATTAAAAGATGTTATGAAAATGACAATATCAAAAGCACAGACTGATCGATGACGACATATTCCATCCGAAAGTGAATTATATGCATCAGAACTGTGCATTTTTAAATGCTTCTAAATTGTAAACATCCAACAAAATCACTGATTCTGTCACTTGCGAAAAATGTCTTACGAAAAAAACCTTTAGTAGTTGGTAACCACTTAAAGACGAGCACAATAAGTAAAGTTCTAAATGTGATTTGAATTAAGAGGTCATCGACGCCAAGAGACGGTAAATAAGATGTGCAAAACTGGAAAGATAGTTTATCACTTCAGTCAGAAACTATTGATGAATCATATATGATCCAAAACAGAGAGAGAGAGAGAGTGTGAGAGAGAGAGAGAGAGAGAGAGAAGGGCTACAAAGATGATCTAAAGAGAGTACCGTGAATCGTTGTATCGAGTACGTGAATCGAGTACGTTGAATCCGTGTCTCCAATGCTGTATAAACGAGTTGTCAGTAAGAAGAAACTATCACGTGTTAGAAACAGTTCTTTCAGGTAGTAATTTTTTGATGAATTCTTCATAATTCATTATTCAATTCAAATTCTAAGTTTAATTGCAAGAATTATAACAAAGAAAAAAGTGAATAAAATGTATCAAGAATAACTCATTAATATCTTTTTCAATGTTTATTAATTAACATTTCCTATGTTTAACTCCCAGATACACCTCCGTCAGGCCCTTTATAAATTTATGTTCATAACAGATTGCATTAATGAAAAATGTTCGTTCGAAATTGATTGAATTAATAAACAACGAAGAAAGCAAAATAAATTTTGGTAAAACAAACTTCCTTTTCACAGATTTGAGGTAAAATATTGATTAGCCTGGAGTTTGAAACACCTTCTAGAAGTTGTTTGTGATATCGTTGCGGTGTAATAAAAAGAAGCTTCATTAAATTCTAATAAAATTAAAATATATTAGGATGGTCTTCCACATTTTACATGCTACTATCAGAGCATTTTGGTTATGATGTCGGAGTACACCGCGTCTCCGAACTATTGCCTAACTTTAACACAACTCAAGTTCCTTTCCGACATCACCCTCACAAGAGTACATAACAAGGTTATTGTGACTAATATGGCATGATTGCTGGAACCGAAAGGACATGTAAGTAATTTACGGTGCGGGAAGTTAAGGCTAAATAAGTTTGAGCAAACATTCCTCTGATTCAAACAAAATGAACACTATCGTCTCAAGACAATTTTATCTAATTTCAACATGCGCCATTTAGAAAGTTTCAATGAAGTAAGTTTTGTCATTTCATTGAAATTATTATATATTCTCGGTGATTTGTCCATAAAACTACAGAACAAATTTATTATTTTGATAAATAACATGCATTTACGGGATGTTTTATTCCCAATAAGAATAAACTATACTTAAATTATCTAACAAAGAGTTCCAAATAAAACGCAAGGCCACTTTACCGAGCTTAAAATACATTTTATATGTTAGTGTTATGAAGAGTCTCTCCTAAATAACACCAACAAAATACCCTAAATTATTTATTTAAATCCTCGAAGAGTACATAAGAAGCGAGGCAAATACTTCAGGGTCAAATCAGTAAAACAGTCATCTCTCTTTGATTTTATGCGTTTCAACAAACCAAAGATTACAACAAATACAGTGTAGCACAAGAACGAGATGAAATGCGCTGTACGAACTTAAAAGCTATTCTCAACAGTATAAACGTCAGTTCACGACAGATGTCGGCTTAACCACGCAGTTTTCGAGATGTGTCAGAATCAACAGACAAGGTTGAAGTAGCAGCGGAAAACGCTTTGCTTAACCAACATCGAACATTGTTGCCACATGGAAAAGAAAATAAAGTTCCAGCAGACTAAGAGTGAGTGTCCTCTTTGCTCTTCCGGTGTTTTGAAACTGCGTGCCCGTGTAATTCCTCGATTCTAATGAGAACAGTTGAATGTTACGTTTGTACTAAAGTGCACTAGTGACAAAGACAATCAGGTTACTCACATCTTTGCTTATTCCATGAAATAGGGAATGATTTTGATGAAATCATGTGATATTTATTAGCGACTCTCAAACCACAGGAAAAAGAAATTACCTAGTATGAATGTCAATCCCTTACACGTTCATATTTTGAATGTCATGATGTACACCTCCGTGCAAAAGTTTACGAATACATGATGACATTATGATATGTAATTATTGCATATTTTTTTAAAAGTTTTGAAATTTCCTGTGAAAAGCTTGTTAAAAAGGAAAATAAAATTTTATTCAGACGACCTCGACATGGTGTAGGTAACAATATCAATAATACAATAAATAAAAAAGATAAAGAATAATCTTCCATTTTCGTAGGTGCCGCTTAAGACAATTCTGACTTTGTTAGAGGCATTTCTAACAAAAAAATGGAATACGGAAGATAAGAATACGATATCACAAACATCTATTTAAGTTCAAGGTACGTTTTAGTTGAGAATGATGAAAGAATGTAAACCAGAGCTGGGGGTTATTCTGAATCTCATTAAAAATATGTAATACCTTGGTAATAAACGGGGAAATATGTGGAAAGCATTAAGTACATGTGTGATAAAAGCACAAATGCAAATCTATAGGTCAGTGTCTATTTTGATCCTCTTCAGAAAAACAAATGAGTAAAGAATTCGGAAGGCCGATAAGAAGGATCATGACGTTAACAGCTGCAACTTGGGCCATAACTTTTTCGAGTTAATTTTTTCAATTTCGCGAAAAAAACCAAATAATATTGCTTTAATTTCACTCTCTCAATTTTCATAATTTCACTTTTTTTCAAATATGGATACTATTAAACATCGATGATTTAATATTTAATTGATTCTTGACATTTTATTTACACAAAACATAAATACATGACAAAAAGACTTAATTCTGGCGTTTTTGTGGTGACGAACTGTACTTTAAATCTGTAATTCGTTTTCAGAATGGACAGAATGGCCTAAAATCAATTTGTGTACTCAACAAACTTCCTGGAGCAATATTTGAACATCTTTTTTAAAGCCTCGTGCCTACTTCGGTTTGCCAGCAGAAGTTTGTTGAATTCGTTGAACTCATTTCGACCACATTAAAATAACTGTACGATTCTTGCTTTAGAAAATTATAGGTGACAAAATGTGCTGACGACTATAAATTCGAGACATTTATAATATTTATAATATAAAACTAGGATACACTTTTTTCTTGATTGTTGATTTCAAGCTTCGCAGAACTGAAAATTATAAACTGTAATATCAAAAACAAATGTACGGCTAAATCAAAAAAATTCTTGATTGTCCTCCTTTCCTTCCATGGACAATAAGGAGAAGCTATGCTTATCGCTTTTTTTAAAATTTTTACTTGAGTTCGCAAGAATTTCATGTTTATGGTTAAAATTTACAAATTTTGCTTTATAAGTACTTTGTCGCAACAATTCTGGAAACTTTTGGTAATGACGTCTGATTACCAAGTCTGTGAAGAAAATACAAAATCGCTTTAATTTACCTTTCGTCACTTTTGTAGTTGTTAGAAAAAGAGCATGCCTGTAATTACTAAAGGGGATCACAGCACGCGACGGGACATGAGGCAAAACGGCGTGACTAGACCGGATATACTAGCGCAGGGCCGAGCTTCTTGCTGTGTATTTGTGTTCAAAGTCATGAACTAGTCTCTGACACTTGTATAGTAATTTATGCACCAAAGGCGTTCTAATATTCGAGCGGCGACAAAACGCCCAAGGGCCTTTGGCCCAAAGGCTTTTTGTCGCCCAAGATCAATACAGCCAGTTAACGCCCGTCGTTTTATTTTTTCACATAATTTTAATGATTCAGATTTACTTATTTACTAATTAACTAGTTGTTCACTTGACTGTTTGTCTTTTCATATTTCTCTCCCATAATTCCCTTCATAAAGTAGACCCTACACGAGCAAGCTGCTTGATCAAACGTTTCAGTCAATCGATTGACGCGAGCTTCAATCAACACTTCAATCTTTTTAATTCAAACGCATTTTCAATTAGTTACAGACTAGGAAAGAGTCTGTCGTGCTGTGTAGTGAAACATAGAATACATATTTGGCCTTCCTTGTCTTGATAGTGGTTGTCTTCAAACAGAATAAATATTAAGAGGAAACCACGCTGGTCCCAGGAGTGGTGTAAAATGAGAAACGCTTCACCCATGAACGCCTCAACGTTCTACACGATAGGAACAAGACGACTACAGAACTTCATTAGAACGGACCAAGACAGTTATGATTCTTACTGAAGTTAGTGTGCCTCAAAATAGAGGTGCAAAAATGGATACAGATATGCGTGAAGCGATTCCTGCAACTCAAAGACTTCCATCACTCTGAGGAAAATACCTGTAAAACTTTATCAGCAAAATGATAAAGTCGCGCTGCAAACTTTCAGAAGCATTACTCTGCTTGCTTTTTTATGCACATTTTCAAAATGTCCATTTCTGCGTTTTGTGGGAGCAATGTCTCCTCTCCAAGACTGCAGGCGAGTGACTGGCGAAATGCTTGATCAAAATTCGGCTTGGACGGTTTAACACCCTCGTCAACCGTTTGGGCCATTCAAACGTTCTATCAATTTCCGTCGTTTGGCTCGAGCGTCAAATGGGTTCCTGCACGGTCAATCATGCTTGATTCAAGCGATTGACTCTAGATTTTGATCAAAATGATTGACCGTCTAGGGCAAGGGTCTCCAACTTGCAAGGCCTCAAGAGACACAAGTAAAATATTACATGTGCTTGGGGGCCACATTTACATTACTCGGGCGATCCACACCTGACATCCCCGTATTGTTGATCTCAGCAGCTTGCCCATCTGATCAGAAACAGGGGGGATAGAACCATACGTGTATCAGACCATGCACAAAGCAGTGAAACACATTGGAATACGTATGATTTTCTGAATTTACTAGAAAAAAGTTAAAATTAAACTTAACCTATTTTCTCATTAAGGGAATGTTGATCCCGACAGGGTGCGTTCGTGCTTCAATATTCTCGCTGGGCATGGACGCAAGACACTTTCTCGTTTGCCCAATAGACTTTTGCGAGCCACAATAAATGGCACGGCGGGTCTCATGGAGCCCACTGGCCGTCAGGTGGAAAACTCTGGTCTATGGCATTCTTAAGAGAACATGTATCATTAAATTGTTTTCATAATTGTTTCGATTAGACACCATGTAGCATCATTCAACTGTGTTCATACTTCCCTCGTAACCAGGATCCTCTCAATCCCAGTCAGTTAAAAAGTATATATCGAGCTGCATATTGAAGGCAACAATGTATCAGTATCGACCAAACATGTTCATTTTTCGTTCCGACCACCACTGACTGGAGACCTCAATAGTCTACACTATCTAAAGATGTTCGTTATAACAATGTGTTTCACGTAACACATCCATCCACTGATTATGAAATATTTAAGTAACTATTTTAAAACTTTGACATGACATGTTTCTGAAGATGCGAAAAACCTGTTTCGTGAAACATAGTACGTGTAACACCATCATTTTAATAAAATCCAAATTCATACGTTTTGGGGTCTCGGTGGGTAAGGGGTTACCTTACTGGCCTCGGAACCTCTCCGATTAAATCCCTTTGATAACATTCATCATAACGAGACCCCACTTTCCCCCAGACAATTCGGATGTAGTAACTGAGATAGACATCAGGTGGTGAAATTGAGAGTCACATAGCAGTAGCATTAAGGGACTGCCCGCGAGGACGGCCTGCTCGATAAGGTCCTCAGACAAGTGTCAGAGGTAGGCTTCAAAAGAAGACGGACGAAAACTCAGGGAAGGTAATGGGAAACTACCCTGAGTGTATCCTCACAAGAAAATCCATAACGGGTCGCATAAATTCCGTCTATGGAATATAGGATGAAAGAAGAATATGCGTTTTAGTTATGATTGTCTCAAATTAGAAGATAGAGAAAATAAATAATTACTCTGGTCACAGGGTAAACGTTCTTAAGTCATTTTTTGGAGAAATTGGGTTACGAACTGAAACTCCAAGTTTAGTAACTATATTTTGTTTGAGTAAATCGCCAATGGCTCCTTAACGCGAAAAAAATCGTTGGTAAATGTAGACGGTTCTTGAGTTGAGAACGTTCGCCCCGTGATCAGCAGGCGTCTCACCGGGCAGCTCGAGGAAGTTGGAGGTGCGGCGCTGGCGGCCGCGCGCCGTGGCGGAGAAGTTGAGCGGGCCGATGTCCTCGTTGGAGGGCTCGCGCGACGGCTCGCGCGTGGAGTCGCGGCTGCCGCGGCGCGCACGCAGGAAGGCAGCCCGCCGCCGGGCGACGCCTTCACGGAGCCGGCGCGCGCGCGGGCGAGCAGGGGCGCGAGCGCGGGGCGGCACCGCCCCCGGCGCCCCCGCCCCCGCCGTCCCGCCCTCCTGCAGGTCCGTCAGTCGGAGGTGGAGCGGCGGCAGCGCGACACGGGTCACCCCGCGCGGCCGCGCGCCGGCTCCGCGCCCACCCCCGCCGCCGCCCCCGCCGCCCACGCCGCCGCCCGCCGCCGCCGCGCGGCCCGGCGAGGGCGGCGCCGGAAGGAGAAGTAGCCGCCAGCCTGCCAACACAAATTGCCTTTCACCGGAGGGCGGAGGAGCGACTACGCAGGGTAACGTCTTTAGGGGGCAAAAGCTCGCGGCAGCGGCCGAGAACGCACGGCGCGACTCGAAAGGCACAAATCCCGCGTAACACGAATCATTTTTGCATCATTTTGGACAGGGGTGGATCCATCCAATCGTTTTAGAGAGGGCCATCATAGAATTGTTTTTAATAATAAACACTTATTATATTATATATTATTTTGGCATGGAATATGTCATACAAAATAATGTTTTAAAATAATTATATAATTATAATATAAAGAAATATTTAAGTAAAATTTCCTAAATAAATGGCATGCTTCCTCCCAGGATCCCCAGCTCATTTTGCATCGGTACACAAAAATAATGGGCGTAACGTGATGAAATTTGTTCAGAAAAAATGGCAGATACTTCATTTTTCAGTACAGATACCACTGAATTTGACTACCTGGCGTCACATTCCAAAACTCTTCCTCCTTCGCGATTTATGGTTTGCTAGTAGAATGAGGGCAGAAAATTTAATGTTTAAATGGATTTTATTAACAGAAATTTGAAAATTGTAATACAGCAGTGAACATGCGTGTTTGAAATATACTTATAACGAAAATTCCGTAAAAAATATAGACGAACAATGTGACTAATATCCGCTAATGAAAATCGTATAGAAATCCGGTTTCAATTCCCGGCCAATATCGTGTGAAATTTGTTACGACAAAACGAGTTAACTACTTCACAAGGACTAGTCTAATCCCTGTCAAGTGTCCTAAACCCTATCCCTTTCTAAACCCTTCCCAATTCTAGCCGCTGGGTAGTGACGCAGGAGCGCATGGTAGGTAGCGCGTACGCGGAAATGCTACCTGGTGATCCTCTTCAACTGACTGCGCGGATTGAGGTTTATATAACATCACTCCCCTCGAGGCCGTACCCGCAATTTCTCTCACAACTTCCACTGGAGACAAAACGACAGATGTACGATCCGTAGATGTGCTTAGTGTTGGGCCAAATAGTGCTTGAAACGCTATCCCCACTGGTCCAACATCAAGCTCATCTACCGATCGTGCATCTGCCGTTCCGTCTCCAATGGATTTTGTGAGAGAAATCGTGAGTGGGGGGTGGAGAGTTGCCTGCGACAGAATGCACGGAGACCGATTTTTGTTCGACCACAAAGGACATATTCTGAACTTAGGCAGGTAAGCAAATTTACAGACTATGAGACATTCTGACATGTCTAGTCGGAGCGAATGGTTTTTAAAACACACCGGACATTTAAGTGGACGGCGCACTCCGAAATAAATGACATCCTGCAAAGAAAGTGTGTGTGTATTATATATTATATATATATATATATATATATAATAATATAATATATATATATATATATCATAATATATAATGTATAAGTCGTTTTATGTAGAAAGTAGACATCATGAAATTTGTCAAGTCATTGGGGTCACTGAAACGAGAAAAAATATTGCGGACCATGTGTGTAATTACGGGAAAATGTAAGCCCCCCTCCAATTTCCAAATTACAAGTCAACGTTACTAAACACGGTGCCCAGTAATTTAAAAGTTAGGAAAGTGTAATTTATGAAACATTGTGGAAGGTTGATGTAGTAAACATACGAAAGTGGAAAATATACCTAATTTGGCAATGCAAGTTTCCTATATTGGGAAAGATTTAAAAGAAAAAAAATCAATTTATGTGTGAATTTGCAGAGCACTCAGCCATATACAGTCTGTATCCCTCTCCTCGCCCTTTCGAATTCCACCTCGCGCCTGCGGATTCGAACATTCGCGTCTCGCACGCAGTCATTAAAACAAATTCATCACACAAACGCATCGTCGACTAAACTACTACGGAGAACATTCGCATCTCTTGATGACAATCCACAAAAATTGGAAAATAATAACAACAATATACACACAATTTCAAATAATTTAGTTTCTCCGATCAAAAGACTAGGTTGTAACAATAAAATAATAAAACATTATTTATATTTTGTCTACTCCCATTGTGTATTTCTGTCATTTGATTGCTGCACCCATTTGCGTAATGATACTCATTAGGATACAGATTTCACTATGATGCAGGTTCTTGACCAATCACAGAGAAGTTTACAAATCAAGTATTGACAATTAATTATTGAGAATCGTTCTAGTAAATGTTTCGTTCGATTGTGTATATTAAAATTGCATTTAATAGCATTATACTATGCTTGACAATTTCACTTTCTTTTATAATTAGTAATTTTTTCGTGACTTAAAAAAAATTTGTTCGTAATTTCACTTCCGTCCTATTTGATTAGCGTATTACTCCCTTGCAGTCGGACTGGTAACCTTCTGCCTTCTGCGGAAAGGTAGGGTAGGGTTAGGGAGCTGCCTGCTAGGGAGCCTTGTGTGATTCCTGCTAGTCAACTTCAATGTAACAGTTTAACTTATAAAATTATCATAAGTCGTAGAAAAAGTATCGTATGAAACTCGATGTAATGGGTTTCGAACGTATATGTGTGTTCTATTATTGCACTAATGTATTAATACCATCAGGACATCATCGTTTCATAATGTACTATTTTGACTGTTTGCTAATTTAGAAGACTGATGATTTGATTTATTGAGTCAAAACACAGTAAAAACTGTATGTGACGTATGGGGGAGAAGATTATCAGCGCACGTTTTCTTGAGTTCCAGAATCCCTTCCCGTCATTTTAACTATAAATATTTGAAAGATGAGTAAAAGTTTAACATAAATAAATAAAAAAATTAAAAATAAATTTTAAAAATAATCACAAGATTAGCAATATTTGAAAAAATAGACATTTTCTTTTCTGAGTTATAGAAAACGTATTTGCATCGGTAAACGAATTACAAGAATACTTTTTCTGCAGTGCTAACAAAATAGTAACTAGCTCTTACTTCTACTTTTACCATTACAAGCAAAAGGAGAGTTCAGTAAAATGTGCGCATAGTGAAGCTACATTTACGACCAGAAGCAAAACAAGGGGCCATCTCAGCATTTGCTCAATGCATCAGCGAAACTGGACAAAAACCTGTTCGAGATGGGGGTCATAGACCGGGATACTGAAGTACATTATTTGTTACAAATATATTAAGTCTTTTTTTTAAAGGTATTATATAATACAAATGTACTAATTCATTTTATTTCACTATTATGTTAAAATAAACATTATTTTTCTTTTTGATAATCAGTATAGTCTCTAATTGTACAGAAGCAGTTATGTAGTAGAAAAGATTTTGCTTTTAACTTAAATTTGTGAATCGACTTCGATTCTTTAATGCCATCTGGCAATACGTTGTAAAGTAACGTACATGTATTGTACGTGGATTTCTGATAGTAAGCTGTTGATACTGACACTCTATGAACGTGATTTTTACGACGTGTGTTGTAATTATAAATATAAGTATTGCACGAAAATATGTGCCCACCGTTAAGTAAGTCACTTTTGACAAATATTACATATTCGTAAATATATAGGCAAGGCCGTGGTAAGATTACATGCTCAATGAAGAGATGCTTGCAAGGATAACGTGTTTGGCTTGCAAGGGTAACGCGGATGGCAGTTTTTCATTATTCGAATAATTTACTTTTGCAATTTAAAGGTCTGAGTACTACATGATGAGTTTCCTCAGAATTTTATACCATTTCTCAGGCGGGAATGTACATTTACAAAATACACTCAACGAGCTGCATGAAAGCTGACAGAATTTCAACGAATTCTGAATGCGTAACGTAATGAACTTAATTTATTATTTAATTTTGTTATATGTACATTCCATTTAAGGTTTGACTGAATTGAGAGACCTAGAAATGTTGTTACCTGAACATCACTTAATTGCATATTATTCATTTTCAATGGAGCATGCGATTGCTGAATTGAAATGCAAATATGCGTTGAAACTGTTTGTCCTTCATTAACTATTGATTTGTTATTATAAAACCAATTTGAAACTTCTAAAATCGTACTATTTATTGTTTCTTTTTCGCAAAAATCATTCGTGTCATCGGCAAACAAATCCGTTCTTCCGTTTTTCATAGACGACGGCACATCGTTTGCGTATAACAGAAAGAGAATAGGACCTAAGATCGAGTCTTGCGGGACCTCATATTCAATTGGTAAAGAATTGGAAAGATAAGTAAATAATGTCCTTTCGTGCCAGTAGGGTAGTCTAGTAGACTATGTTAGTTTCTTTGCCCGCGGCCTTGACATGCCAACGCTAACTGTGCCCAGGTAAACAGTTTTATATTGCGGAGCGTTTATTAACAAATACAGTATTGCAGTAATTGCAATTGAATTACGCAGAATAACAAATAGTAAATTTAATTTTACATAGATATCGTGATTCTGCATATTTCTGACCATCTGTGCTATTGAGTACAGACATCCACAAGAGTTAACCTTAGAAAATGCAAGAGGCTTAAAAAGGTCTCATTTTGTAGATTATAATCTAAGAAATCGAAGTTGGAGCCCGGAACCCGGGTATTAAGGGTCTCGATCGCACCGTTTCGGATTACGCACTCAGCAGCGTACTGTTGCACGTGTTGGAGTTTGCGTGCGCGCCTGTTGAATACTTCGCATTTTAGCACATTTTACAAAAATCTCCGAATTCATTCTTAAATCTATTATTCTGTTTTATGTACCTCTGGAGAGCAATTCTATATCTAGAAGTTACACATTTCCGAAATTTTGTGACAATGTTTGTATAAATCGAACAAAACCTTTCTCAGATATCATTTTATATTGAATTCAGTATCATGTCTTTCAATCAGGAGAGATGGCCCAGGGCATCAACGGATGTCATTGCAGTCCTTCTGACCAGGAAGTCCTAGATTCGAGTCCCCGACGGTAGCAGGATTTTCGACACTAGCTTCTTAGCTAAGTCGAATTCAGTCGCTGTCTGTCTAGCGGTCAGCTGCTCTGCTCTAATCGGTAGTTTTCCGTGGTTTCTCCGATCAACACCACACGAATGCCGGAGCAGTACCGTATCAAACGGGCCACGGACCGATTGTGATCTCACCTTCTTCTTCCTTGTTCTATCACCTCTTACACACACAGACACAGACACACACACACTAACACGCACTACACTACCAGACATGCCGGAAGACCCGTCAGGAGCGAAGAGCTTGTACCGACTGGAGCAGTGCCCCGCTGGTGGTAGATACCTGGTTGGGGAAAACCCTGCTAACCGACGGTAGGTAAGCGCCGGATTTCGCTCTTTAGCGGGGGAAAGATCACCGCCACCTCTCGAGCAAAAAACACCATTCACTTACGGGACTAATGATCCTGGTTGTTGACGTGCCCAGAATCACTAAACAATCAATCAATCGAACATCATGCCTTTCGATGTGCCCCTACATCTTTCGTCCGGCACGCCAGTGTGGTGAATGGGTCTGGCTACAACGCTCGGCCGACTGTGACCACAGCAGTCGCTTTGACACCCGGGACATATGAAGAAGAAATCGCTCGTCCCTAGAGGGCGCGCGCTCGCCGTTGCCAATGGCAGTCGTCGGTTGTTTGTGGCAGAGAGTGGTGCCCTGGGAAAGGAAACGCAGGGCAGAGGACGGCGACCTTTCTATTTTTTATCGATTTGATATTTTTAGGTAAAACAGAATGAGGATTGCGCTCGGGAAATTCAATATTCTGTAATTTTTATTTAAATAAAAATATACTATTTGGCTATTCACACTGCGACAGTTGACATATTGATATTGATAGCAGTTAACAGGAGACCATGGCACTTGTGTTCTAATAGCAAGAAAATGATGACAGTTGTTAATAGTGAGCCATGGAATATTGCAACATTTGTATTCTGTTTATTCTTGGTACGAAACTGATATCGAGTTCGTAGTTTCACTTGAGATAACCACAGTGGATGAAATTCAATGTAATATCTTTACATTTGCAACAACAGTTAGGGGAATTGTTTTTAAGTGCAGTGTTGGAGTGTGAAACTGTAGCCTTGAATTGGTTAGAAATTGAATTATTAACCCACTGCAGCCTGAATGTATTTCGCTACCCTACCCGCGCGCCGACTCACCAGTTGCGCAAGGACATTGTCATTGTATCTGGTTGCATTTGTTTGCAACTTTTATCACTTACTTTTTTACTGCTAAACTGTACTTTGAGTGTCGTAAAATGACAACTGTTGGTTACATGGACATTATTTTCCATAAAATGTAGTAAACAAGTACCTGTATCGGTACCGTAACTGCACATGCCCCGTCAACACTCCCCTCGACTTAACCGCAGACATACACCAGCAGAAAAAAAATTATTTCAGAAGACAATGCGACCCGTAACACGTCATGAATACTCAGTTGTACAATGTTCCAGTACAATGCTCCAGTAAATCAGCATGAAGCATTTATCGTTGCGAGAAGTATACACTTCTCTCAGGAAGTGCAGAGCTGATGCATTGCAGTATTCATAATATTCATGGCAATTAAATAGCCCCATCCCATTTTAAAATATTTTGGTATGATAGAGACGGACCGTGTCTCAAAAAATAACATGTTTAAACATCTCAAGAGACCCTAAGGTAATACTTCCATTTGTAATGCACATCTCGACAGTGTGTTTCAATAGTGAACATATACTTCAAAGGTTAAAATATTTTTAAAACGAATTTGTACAATGAAAAGGAGAAGGAATAGGTGCGATAAAAATAACAATATTGTATATTTGTTGACCGGCACATAAGTGTTCGTTCATTTCTCCAATGTTAGTCGCAGCCCTTCTTTGGAAGTGAGAAATTACTAGACTAAACCGACTCGATATTGCCTTCCCTTCGGATAACGTAGTAAAGCTACTGTAAGGCCCGTCAGTCACAGCTGAAGAACTCATTTCGCTTAAATAGGTTTTCTCTCAATACATGTTTGTATCCCTTACACTAAATGTTACTTTTTAATCAGTAATTTTAAACTAATTAAACTTGAATGTTTAATAAAGTGTAAAAATAAATCTGTTAATTTCATTTTTTAAATCAATATCTGAAAATTCTCTCTTTAACCCATTCTCATGTCAACAAATGCGTTTTCTAGTTCTACAACTCGTAATATACATTTTAATGAACACTTCAAGCAATTGGTCTGGCGCAAGCAATTAGTATTTGAACGTATTAAAAATAAGAAATTTTGCATTATGACTCTGAATTAAGACGCAATGCCAACAAATTGGGTGCTTATTTTTTTTAACGCAAAGTACCTGACATTTATATCAATGATTTATCAGAACAACCGTCAAATCGGCCAGAAACTGCGTTCAAGCTTTTGTGTTGGCAGGTATCCCAAATACTTCAGAAATGTTTATTATGCTGAAAGGAGAAAAGTAGGATTTGGTCCAATAAAAACCCAACGCATAAACTTTTCTTTACGTATTCCTTCTTCTGCGCAGTGTTTCCCGCCTCCCTTCACGTCCTCGGAATTCGTCGTCTCACGGGGAGAAAATGGCAATAAATTAGAGGCGCAGCGAAGAGACTACTACTGCGCTCCATTCACGCGATTAATGGAGGAGCTTTCGACGGAGCGGTGAATGCACTTCGCACCTGGAAACGAGCCAAAACGTGTGGCAGCGGCTCGACGAACCTGTTGCACGTACGTCCTCACCTTCGAAGCCAGCGCATTTACAATAAACATGATTTGCATTGCACGGCGTATTCCTGGGTATAAAATCACCTTGACTTCAGGAAAATGATTATTTAGTTTTTTCAGATGCTTCAACTACCATGGTCAATAGTCTTGTGAATGTAATGAATGTGTGATGTTCCCCAGCTGGAATGTGAAATCCGGCACCATTTCGTCCACTCGCGAGATTTCCCGCCAGTGGAGCATCGGCCCAGCCGGAACAAGCTCTAAGCTCCGAATACATGTGGTAGTTGAATTACTGTACCGTGTTTACGGGCGCGTCAACTGCAGTGGTCATTAATCCCGTATGTGTAAAGCAAGCTTCCAGCATGGGAGATAGCGGTGATCTTCCCCCGCCGGATGGTGAAATTCGGCACCGACCTACCGTCGGCTAGCGGGGTTTCTTCAACCAGGTATCTCCCATCAGTGAGGCACCGCCCCGGTTGGGACAAGAACTAAGCTACTGACATGTCTTTAGAAATGTGTGGTATTGTAATGTTTGTAAGTATATGTGTTGTAAGTGTAAGGGGCGAGGATAAGACAATGAAGAGGAACGAAAGATCTCGCGCGGACCGTGGCCCGTTTGTTAGGTTACTGCTCCAGCATTCTCCTTGTTTTGATCGGAGAAACCACGGAAAACTACTGATGAGAGCAGCCGACCGCCAGAATTCTCCTCCAGATGCCGCCTGTAGTGACTGCTGCCGCCCTGAGCTCTTTCTGATGGCCCACTCGCCCCTCAGCCCCCCCCCTTTCATCCGCCCACCCGCTTCTCCTGGTCAGTCCTCTTGAGCTGACTCTCTCACTCTGCTCGCTCCGCGGGTGAATTTTTTAAATACCTTTCATGACGTTAATATTTACATTGCCGGCGTTTTAAACTATTTCTGTGATCGCAGGTTAAAAGTTTTGAATGTGATGTTTGAAGATCACGAGAGATCAGTGTGAATTGTTCCCATCAGAGCGCTAGATAACTCCCTATAAAATCATGGTAGGTGCCCAAAGCGCCGATAACTGGCAGCCGAAATTGGGGTGCGGCAAAACCGAAGACCAGATCCGACTCAAAAGAAAATGAAATTAGTACGAGAAAGTCTGTGCCTTTCGGTAGTACCATTAGTTCTAAAAATTGTAATACACTGAGACTGAAGTCACGAAAAACAAAGGAAGACGACATGAGGGTGATGAATGATGCAGTTTGGGAATTTCTCAAGAGTCCAACCATGTGAGAATGACACTGAATAATTTCCTTTGGCGCAAAATGCAACTGACATGAAGACAAATTATCTTAGGTTCTTAACTCAATATTGGCAGGTTGATTCATTCTTTCCACTTCTAAGGTTTTTGTTGCTGATGCAATTTCCCTTCAGATAATCGCTTCCCGCCCCAAGAACGATAATAATCACGAAGTATACAAAAATGAGTAGTTATTTTAAGATAATTTGCTTTTAATACGGAGTTTTAATGTTCAAAATCTTGCGTTTGCTTTCGTGTACATATAAAGTCTTTCTAATGACGAAACTGATTATATTATACTATCATCTAAATATTTCTCGAGAGTTCAATTGGGACATTGTCATGGGTTCAGTAATGACACTAACTGGAACGATTCACCTTCGCAGATTCCACCACATTCCTTCCGCAGAGGACTAAAACCGAAGCTATTACGTAAACAAAAACCTCTGTACTGTCCGTTCAAGTAAAGAATGACGATATTTTACGCTATGCCGAAAAAGCCGATACGATCTCAATAAACTGTTCTTTAACAAGAAACATTATATAAAAATATCGTTTGCCACTTTTTTACGCGCCATATTCTCAAACCCTTTTCTATTACTATACTTGGACTCGCGAAATGCATTAGAATCTTGCAAACCTCCTCAATTCGATTTTCACGCAAAGTTATTACACAAATTAGTTCCATGCGCACAGGTAAACTATTCGTAACATCCAAGTGTATATTTAATATACAACTCGGACTGGAGAACATATGTGATTGCGAATGAAATGTTTTGGTCATATGGATTTCAAGAAAAAGTCCAAGTTTATTCGAAAAGGTAGTCTAAAGAGTGGCATGCAGTGCAATGCTTTATCATTTAAGGACACTAAATGAAAAAAATTGGAATAAAATAGAACTTACCACGAATGTATAATGGTATTAAATATCTGGGTGTGAATATGTTAGTGTATACAGAGAAATCCACAAAAATGTATTATTATTCTCTTAATATGTGCGTCATTTTGTTCGTCCTTGCTCAATAATAATAATAATAATAATAATAATAATAATAATAATAATAATAATAATAATAATAATAATAACAAATATATATCTACTATTACAAATAATCATATTGTAATAATATTCATCATCTACAAGACAATGAAGAATGACAATTAATTAATGTCAAAACTGATTTTATGTAACGTAACTTTGGGTTTGCCTGGATTCAAAAACCAAAAAGACGCATCAAAGTGTACACTTCTTGAAAGCACGGTGAGTGAAACCTTACTGCTTTTCATATTCAGACGTCCATAAGAACTCAGAAACATTCAGGATTCTAATTAATTAGTGTTTACAACTCGAACTGTAAACTCTGTCACTAACTATATTTTTAGTCTAAACAGCATTCGGTAACGTGTCAAAACTTTCGATGTGATGGTTGTTTCCTTACACAACAAAATATTATTCGAATATCTCCCTTTAATCTCAAACATACCACAACTTTGTTTCCTTTTTACGGGGTATGTAGGTTGCGGACCAGAAGAAAAATGATAGTTTAACCCATAAGTAAATTACGGACCTACCCAGAAAAGGACATACGTAAATTGCGAACCGACTACCTCATCACCTTCCAGGTAACCGAGGAATGTGACACATTATTTTCGAAGAACAATTTCAGAGTCATTCGTTTTAAGTCACAACTGCCTTCCCAATTTCGCAGACCTAAGACTGGCATATTTCGTTCAAAATATGGTTTGGTTAAAGTTGGTTTTCATTCAATTCGTTGATTGAATGAATCTTCCATTTTATATTTCTCTTTCCATTTTATATTCTTCCATTTTCTCAACTAATATTGTATAAAGCAGAACGTAAAATTTGGACACGCTTCTAGTGCTTTCTTTGCTTTTCATTTCAATATAGGAGCGAATCTGGAAGGTTTAATTATGAAAAGCCGAACAACAGTGCGCGGCTAAGGCGGTGGTGGCAGCGGCCCCCTTAACGCGCTCACCTGCTCTATTAGTCATTTTCTTTAACTGGGTTGGTTTGGTCAGCAATGCACATGGAGAATTAGAAATTAGTATTTATATTCTCCATGTAAATTATTTGGTCCGCAATTCACATACGTCCCATTTTTATTGTAATACAATAAGCACATGAAATAAATTATTTTCAAAGAGAAATTGAAAGTGAATTTGACATTAATGAAAAGCACGTTCATCATCAGAATTAGCATCAGCATTAAATAAAGTGCTGTCAAATCTCATAGATGCAGAAATTACTATATGAAGTTCATGTTTCTTATAGGGAAAGAAATAAACTATTTCAACTGTTTGACGCCTAAAACCATTTGACTAAAAGAATGGAATCAGAAGTATCAATATTACGAACAGAATTCATCATCAAGGCAAGTTGTGAGGTTCTGCTTCAACCCAAATCAAAACTTAACAGACACCAATACATCATTACATCTACAGAGTGGTATTAAAAATCCCTGTGATCCAAATGATCCAAAAAATCCATGAAAAATCCAAATGATCTGCCAGTGAATGACTTAGTTTTCGTAGTAAATAAACGCAAAATTGCCTTATTTATTATAAATAAATCGTCCTACATTACTTTCTTTCTTTGTTTCACATCCAAGGTAAAAGTGATATTGTATAATTTACACATAGTATATAGTTATAAAAAGTTGTGGATAATATGACGTAATGAAATTACAAAAAAGTACTTCTATTTTGGAAATTTTCAACTCCGATGTTTTCAGATTTCATCCATAAGTAACGATAAGTATTCATGTAAAATATCGAAAAAAGAAATGTTCTCAATAACAAAGTACCTAATATGTCATCAAGTTATCTCTCCAAGAAATTGAATTTGTAGGATTCAACAGTGCGTAGTGTGTAATTCTAATTTTTATGCATATTTTACAGTTTTTGATTATTTGTAAATAACTAAAAATTACTAGCCGACTTTATGAATCGATATAAGTGATACAGGCAGGTTTTTAACTAGATCTAAGTCTTTATATTGTTCGGTGCGTGAAAAATAACCGTACATTTGCTAAGAGCTATCTCACAAACAAGAGAACTCAGACTCCTGAGATTAAATCGCACAGAAAATCAAATAACAGACTTTCTCTACGACTACTGCAGAACGTACATATTTCTGCTAGTTATCGGATGCAGTAATGATGACAATTCCACAAGCCGTGCGACAATATTATTCTCTCACGGCTGTCGACAAATCACATTCTTCGCAGTTTATTACACACGACAGAGAGTCCTCGTAGTCGCCTACAGAGACTTGTGCTCTGTTGTGACAGGTCTCAATTGTCGTAAGACAGCAGAACCACGAAACAGTATGCGAGGTGGTATTAGTTAGGGTCAGAGTCTTCTTCGGCAATTTTTAAGGGTAAGGCGCCCATTTAGTACTTCTAAAACATCAATTGAGTGACCCAGTGAAAACAGGCACATTTGTTAATTTCGAGTTTGTGTCATAGTTAAGTAGCTCGTGCCATGTTGGATTGATTCCCGTAACAATTTGTATATTAGTTTGAGCCTATTCTTCGTTAAGGAGCTTTCACAAAATCTCGAGATTCTGAATGTTACAAATAATATGTGGGAAAAGGGCACATGCTACTCTGTTTTGCATCCCTAATGACTAGCGGTGACTTTTCTTACAAGTCGGTTGAAACCACTGAAACCAATGAGAATAAGTTCTGATTTTGCCTATATGTTTTCCAAAATTGCTGGCACGTGTTGAGGTCAATGAGCCTTATGAAGGAAACCTACACTTGGGAGTAAATGTCGAATACTATCTACATAAAATATTCCCTAATATGATCTAAACGAAAAACCATTCAAATTAAGTTTGTAGAGTTTTTTACCGTACTCAAGCTCTTAATGAATGTGCTTTGCGAGTTAAATATCCCAATGGACGAGAAATAAAAATAGCATAATCCTATAATTTGCAGTATTTTTTGTAGCTTGTGTTATCTGCGCACGTTTTCTTGAGCCTTCTTTTCGCTAGAAGCGAGAAGGGTAGGTGTTAGTTATTTCGACGACTGGATTATTATATCAAATCTGTAGCCCGTTTTTGGATGAAAAATAACTTCTATTATAAGTGAGCGATAAATTCGGTAATTACATTTTGCCAACAGGGTTCCTCACAAACATTTATTCTTAATTCAACTGATGTCAGTAAAAGATTGGTGGTAATTCTAGGTTTCAGGAAACGTGTGCGTATAATGCTATCAAGTTATGCTTCTTTCTATAATAATCTAGTAATGGCGCTGGGTATAAGATTGAAGTAGAAGTCCAAATAACTTAGAATAGAAGACCTAGGTACTTACGTAGAAATCATTACTTAAGACTTTATTTAAGAAAATGTAATATAAAGAATTATTATTGCTATGGTGTTAAATATTAATGCATTTTGCCAGCAAATTTCAACAGTTGCTTTAATATAAATTGGGTATTATTTTATTTAGAGTGTTTCATTATTTGAAGCCCACGCCACTTTGTATATATTTACTTTCTTTTTGATTAAAAACATTGAATAAAAAGAGTGTTTCATACAATAATTTAATAATATATCCAATAGTTCATCAAAGTCATAATCAAATTCAAAAAATTACTATAAGGTGTCAGTGTTTCGCGATAAATAGGCATTTAGAAATCCTTCTCACCTGTAAAAAGTGTCTGTGGCATGTACCTGTTTTCCAATGGGCAACTCAATTTCAAAGTCGTAGAGAAAGTATAGTCTTCTACTTACGAAGAACGCTAATATTCACTCGTAGAAATACCGACACTCGCTCCTACGTCACTCGCGTCGTAATCATCAACTCGTAAATCATAGCTATCATTCTATGCTCGTTAAAGAATAAACTATTATACTATTCGGGATTCGACATTCTGTATGTCTCTGGCCACTCTTCCTACGGACTGGGAGCACCGAGAAGAGAGTATTTCGCGATTTTTGGAGCGTCGACGTCTTTGGTCATTCCACTCAAAGAAGAGACGTGCGTCTACGCGTAAAGAAGCATAGTGTACCTGTACAACTCTTAGACAACTCTTACACTACGTAGATAATGGCTAAAATTAAGAGGTCTCCAAATCGGGCAGATGAAACGTATGTAATATGTTTGTATTAAAAGTAATACATTATGAAACGATGATGTAATGATGGGCATTAATGCGTACACGAGTGTGATATTACGATACGAGCGATGAACGAGCGAGTATCGTAAACTTTACACCAGTGTATTAATACACATTACAGCAAGTTACATACGGTGCTTTTTCGACTACTTATGGTAACTATTATATGTTATACTTCTTCGTTGAATCGTTTTGTGGCAGTTGACAAGCAGGATTCAAGAAAAACCACCTAGCGGACAGCTCCCTAACCCTATGCTACTTTGCTTACTTTGGTTACGAGTCTGCCTGCGAGGAAGTTCTGCGCTACTCACACAGGATCAAAACGAAATTACGATCCAATTTATTTTAAATACTATTCCACTGAAAAGTACTAATAATAAAAGGAATTAAAACTGACAAGCATAATATAATATTAAATGTAATTTTAATGTACACAATCGAACGCAACATTTACTAGCACGATTCTCATTGATTAATTCAGTGTCAATATTTGGTTTGTAAACTTCTTTGTGATTGGTCAAGAATCTGTATCGTAATGAAATGTGCAAAATTATGCAACTAGCTGCAAAATAATTAAAGATGTTGTCATTACCAACAATATTTTTTAATGCAATAGCAGCTTTTGATGGCTAAGCCATCGAAAGCTGCTATTGCATTAAAAAATATTGTTGGCAATGACAACATCTTTAATTATTTTAAAAATGCCAAAGATATCACACCACAACACCTACAACTAGTTGCAGCCATCAAATGACAGAATTATACGACGGGAGTAGAAAAATATAATTACGTGAACGGCTAGGTTTTGCGACTGTACTTTAACAATGATCAGTAAATGATGTAATGCTCAGTGTATACACAAAATGGATTCAATAACAATATTAAAATACATTATAAAGGAATTAGAAAACTTTCCTAATTAAATAGTACATTATTGAATACAATGAGTTGCTTATTTATAGATCTGGCTTCCTTTTATTTGCAGCACTTAAATTCCTATATTATGCGCTTTTTATAAATGTTGCTTAAACGATTTTGTTTTGCATTAAGTTATATCGCTCATATATTGGAACGTTACAGTGATCACATTTGGGACGAAGTTTACCTAATATCAAAAGTACTTGCCGTGTTCAGTTTTTAACCTAGTAATAACTACATGTTTCTTACGTATGTAGGCTCTGAAAATTTTTATTGGCGTATGGTTGGAGACTGCATGTAACACTGAATTTATGTAGCTCACGGCCCTTCAGCCTTCGCAACCTCGGCTATCCAGGCCGGCTGTGATATATTTTCTTTGACTGCTGAATCAAAAATAACATTTTTAATATTATATTTCAACATTCTTCTACTATTACTACTTCATACGAACTCTTTTGACTTATTTGATGTGCAAAATTAAAGTCTACATATATTGCATTGTCTACATAGTCTACACTTAAAAAGAGTCAAGTAGACTGAATGTAGATTACGTGAAAAAACTCGCGTAGAAATAAAATCATAGTCTAAGGCACGACTGATTCACAGTCCCGTAAGCGCAGTGCATGATCTTATCGCGGGAGTGAGCGCTCTTCCTTTCCCTGAAACGTGAGATTCAACGCTGACTATCACAGCGGCTTTCTCTCTCCCGGTTTCGCTCCCAGAGAGGCACCGCCCCCGCCGGCTTAAGCAATAACCTCCCTTCTGGTCTCCCGATAACCGCGATAGTCCAGGGAATCAAAGTGTATTATCTTTTAATCATGTGAAGGAAAACCAGTTACCAGTTTCAGCGACGTACGTGACGCATTTCGTGCATCCCAAAATTACAAGTTTTCCGCTTGGCTGATCTCTTTCGAGGAGTCTCATAAAGCTGAGAACGTTGATGTGTCACCGGGCGCCCTTATTTCCCAATTGCCTCGGACTCCCCTATGCCCGAGCTAGCAAACAAAGGCCGTTGGTGGTCACGTCTTTCAAGAAGGGAAGAAAATATTTTTGGCACAACACTCATTGGTGATTGCCTCCCTCGAACATTTAAACTGCAGCTCTGAAGAACCACCTGTCACCAATTCGGCTTTAGTACGAAACAAAACCTAAGAATTCATTCAGCCCCTGTTCTCTTCGCTATCTCCCAAATGTCGAAAGTTCTATGTTTTAGCAAGCAAACGCCGTTGGCGGTCACGTCTTTAAAGGGACATAAGAAAATACTTCTCACATAAAGCCACTTTCTAACTACCTTCTTCAATATTTTGAACGACAGCTCTGACGAGAAACCAGTTTAGGCCTCGTACCAAGCAAAAATTAAAATCTTTCATTCATTATTCATTCTAGCTGAATTTCTGGGAGAGGTTCTGCTGCACCTCTGTAGTAGATGAGTTTCCCTCACCCAATTGTTTGGTGATATCCTGAAATGTTTGGAAGGAGTCTCGTGAAGCTGCAAATGTTGATGCATTGCCGGACGGTTTATCCTCTCATTGCCAGAAGTTCTCCCACTCTAAGTGAACAAACAAAGACCGTTGGTCTTTCAAGGAAGGGAAGAAAATACTGTCGGTGTAACTCCAGGTACTGATTAGTACCCATGAAAATTTAAACTACAGTGTCCTCTAAAGGAAAAACTGTAATCTATTTAGGGGTCGTATAAGAATAAAATTAAAAATATTCAGTCAGTTCCTGAAGATAATCAATGAAGTCTCCTGAAGATGCAAATGTTTATGGATCGTCGGCGCACGTATCTCCCAATTGCCCCAAGTTCCCCAGTACCCGATTGATTGATTAATTAGTGACTCCGGGCGTGCTAACTGGAACGGTCACTAGTCCCGTAAGTGCAGTGCACGTTTCCATAGCAGGAGGTGGCGGTGATATTGCTCTCTGGATGCCGACCTATATTGTTTGGACTTTCCCGAACCAGGTATATTCCACCACTGGGGCATCCCAGCCTGGACAAGCTCTAAGCTCCCGACCGGTCTCCTGGCATGTGTGGTAGTGTCGTGCATGTGTGTGTAAGTGTGTGTAAGGGACGAGGATATGGCAAGGATTGGCAAGGAAAGATAGCACTCAGTCCGTGGCCCGATTATTTGGGTATTGCTCCTGCATTTGCCCAGTGTTGATCGGAGAAACCACAAAAAGAGCCTACTCCGAGCCTTCTCCTAATCCAATCAGAGTATACTCCGAACTAGCAGGAAAAGGCCTTTGGGGTCCACGTCTTTCAGAGGGAAATTAATATATTTGGCGCAACACCTGGAGCTGATTACCTTCCACGAAAACATAAACTGCAGCGTCCTCTGTAACCAATGTTGGCGCGGATCCAGACGCAAGGAGAGTTATTCCAAATATTGAAGAAACCAGTTATAAATAGGTGTTACTCTCCCTTAAAGACGTGACCACCAACGGCGTTTGCTTGCTAGTGCATAGAACTCTCGGCGTTTGGGAGATAATACCGCCAGACAACACACTAACATTAACAGCTTCTTGAGACTCACTGATAGAGATCAGGGGCTGAATGAAAAGTTAATTTTTCTTATTCGTACGTCACCCCAATTGGTAATATGTGTTTCTTCAGAGCTGCAGTTTAAGTTTTCGAGGCAGGCAATCTGTACTGAGTGTTGTGCCAAAAATATTTTCTTCCTCCCCTTGAAAGACGTGTCCGCCAACGGCCTTTGTTCCCTCGGGTGTAGGGAAGCCTGAGGCGTTTGGGATTTTGGCGCCCGGCGTCACGTCAACGTCGCTCATTACCCACAGTAGAGAGGTATTATTGCCCAAATACGAAATGGGGAGGTCGCCACATAAGACAACAAGATAAGCGGTGGGCCTATGCTACAACCGTATGGCAATCAAGAATCGGATGGAGTAATCCAGAAAGACTTCGAAAAATATGGGAGGACAGCTGTAAGGAAAAAAATGGATGAGACTGGCTGCATGCAGAGCGTTATGGAGGTGCCTTCAAACAAGCTGAATTGTGGAAATGAAGAAAATTGCAACCAGTGAAGTGTTGTGGAGACAACATCAATATTAAAAGACAGATGTTTTTTAATAGCCAAATTATATGACTATTGTTTAGTTAGTAGTAATCAATACTAGCTTAATATATGTGAAATTTATTCATTTGCACAGATGTACTATACCAAACTGCACGAAGAAAATCCTTTGCAGAACTCCCCTAGGAAACCAGGACGCACTAGCCCTTAAAATAGTATAACGGGATAATAATAATAATAATAATAATAATAATAATAATAATAATGGTAATAATAATAATAATAATAATAATAATAATGAATAATGAATAATAATAATAATAATAATAATAATAATAAATAAATAATAATTAATAATAATAATAAATAAGAATAATGATGCAGTTTCCAGCCTTCGAAATTGCGCCTTGGTGCTTTAGGCATAGCAAGTGAATGGGAGCGCGCACCGTGGCTGGCCGCGAGCGCGCGTAGGCTGCGCGGCGACTCACCGTGGGCGCGGGGGCTCCTGGGCTGCCGCGGGCTGCGCGGGGCTCTTGGCGGCGAACGTGAAGTGGACCGCCGGGCGGCGCGGCCGGGGCTGCGCGGCCGGAGGCGCGGGCTGCGCGGGGCTGCGCGGGCTGGCGCAGAAGCCGGGGCTGCTCACGGACATGGCTTGCGGCTGTGGCGGCTTCTGCTGGCGACGAAGCGGGCGGCGTGGCGCGGCGCGCGCGGGGTGAGGGTGGCTGTAGCTGCGGGGGTGGCGAGGGCGCTGGGGCGGGGCGCGGGGGGCGCAAGGGAGGCGGGGGGCGGCGCGGCGTCCGGGCGGCGGGCCGGCGCGCACGCGACTGCGCCGGCGCCGAGCCGGCCGAGCGCGGGCGCCGGCGCCGCTGCTGCTTGGCGAGAGCGCGTCGCGCGGAGAGGACGCCACCGCCTCCGCGGCCCCGCCCCCCCGCGCTCCCCCCTGCGCGCCCTGCCGCAAGCGCTGCCAACCCTCGGTCGCGTGCCCGGGCCCTGTCCTTCCCCCCTCTGCATACCACCATGTTTAGCGCACACACGGTTAATTCATTAGTGATTTGGGGCGCGAGAACAACCAAGGTCGCTAATTCCGTAAGTGTAGTGCCTGATTTTTATTGCGAGAGCTGGCGATGATTTTCCACCGCTGGGTGGCGAGATCCTCGCCGGCCTACGTGTCGACTTGCGGAGTTTTCCTAAACCAGGTATCGCCTGGTGTCGACCAGAAACCCCCGCTCCAGCCGCGAGAAACTCTAAGCTCCCGATATGTGTGGTAGTGTAGTGCATGTAAGTGTGTTGAATAAGTAAGGGGAAGAGGAAGAAAATATCGCACCCAGTCTGTGGTCCGTTTGTTAGGGTACTGCACCGGTATACGCCTGATATTGATCGGAGAAACGACGGAAAACTACCGATCAAAGCAGCCGGCCACTAGAATTCTCCTTCAGACAGCGGTTGAATTCGACCTATCTGACAAGTTTGTATCAAAACTTCTGCCACCGTCAGAAGGGAACTCCAGGGCCTCGCGGCCAGCGGCTGTGCAGTGACATCAGTTTATGCCCCGAGTCACCTCTGCCGGTGGATTACTTAATGTTTCTGAGTGCATCAACTACTCGAGACATTGGTCCACCAAGTTGTACGGTATATCCTGAAAGTGATGGTATTTCTCCCTCGCTGAGACGTGAAATCCGCCGCCGTACCTGCACGTCGGCTTTCAGTGTTTCCCCCTTCAGTGGTATCCCTCAGCAGGGTACATCCCCAGGAAGGACGAGTTTGAAGTTCCCGACTGGACTCCTGTAATATGTGCTGCAGTTGTCAATGTCGATGTAAGAGTGTGTAAGGGGAGAGAAGGGGACAAAGATGAGGAAGGAACGATCGGCGATCTGGAGTCTGTGGGTTAGAATATTGGCCTGGTATTTGCATGGTATGAGAAACCCTGGAAAACTATCGAAATGAGCAATCGGCTTCTAGAATTCCTCCTCGACCCTGCTTTTGAATTCGACCCAGTAGGTAGCTACTGTCGGTATGCGAACTCTAGAGCATTCCGGTTAACAATGCTACAGACGATAAGGTTTAGTCGCTGATTCACACCAGCTGATTTGTTTAATCATGGTTTATCTCCGTTAGCAGCTTAAAGTATACAATTAATTAACACATTTAGATACAAACAGTACACCGAAAGGCGTGTATTACAGAGCAATTACATAATAACTGTAGTACAGCAGGCCTAGACGAAGGAGAAAACTTGCAACTCACGTACTATTTCCAGACCATGTTGCCACCGAGGCTGGCAGAAACTCAGTATATTCTATTAGGCTCATTCACAATGAGAACTTGAACGTAACGTAATGCCGCAAACTTATCAGTAAAATTTACACATAAAAACAAGCATTCACAATGTCGAACGTAATTTTTGCCTGAGCCAATCACATTTCAAAGTATTGAAGCTTGAACGATTGTCGATTCGTTTCTAGCATGACGAAAAGATCTTTTCACCGTGGTTTCTAGCTTTTTCTTCGATTTTCCTATCAATGTATAATGCGAGTAGCTGTTGTATTAGTGCTCGTATGTCCTTTAATTTATAAACAAGGATTCTCATATATGTACTATATTCACAAGTAATTCGTTGAACGTAATTATTTTATTCGCCACGTTAAGTAAAAGTTACAAGAAAATGGCCCAAATTCTTCCTTTGAATTCACTATCCGCATCAAAATTGTTCGCGAACTAGTTAAGTATATAACGGTAATGAAATGATACATCCACAAACTACCTGAACACAAACTGAACTACACCATGTTTGTTTCTTTCATGTTGGTCATTCTACACAATGTTGATTTTCGGTAGAATTCCGAAGTAAACTTAACGTAAAAGTGCTTGTGAACTCATAAGTTTACGAATTTACATCTACGATTACGTCAAGGCGTTGTGAATGGTCTCGCTGAATAACTCATTTCTAGGTTTGCGGCTACGTTATGTATACGTTTGTTTGCATTGTGATTGAGACCTTAAAAGTCGGAGGGTGCAGCCTTGACCTGCATAGGAGCGACTGGATGATGGTTTTCGAGGCGCTGCTCCTTTTATCCGTTTATCCATAGAGTGATACACCCAATGTCTGGCGGATACTGAGGAGACCCCCAAACAATGAACCATGGAGCGCGCTTGGTCCTTCATCCCCTCTCTTGTAACTACTTTCATTATTAGATCACATCAAATGTCCATCTTCACACTACTCATTCCCCACAGTTGTGGCATTATTGCTAATAAGTGTTGTCTGTCTCGAAATGAGCTCCAGTGTCGCAGGAAAAGTAAGTGCCATGATAATATTTATTATATCTGAAATGTAAGCAAATTAATGTTTGAAACTACTAGAAAGAACAATACTAGTTTCTCTTCAAAAACTGGCAGCATTCATCGGTGTTCATTTACGGGAATTCCACGATTCTTAGCTTTCGACGGTTTTGCAGGTCGTTCAAGATCTCTGATGGCTCAATAGCGACTGATTTCATTACAGTATGGTAACGTTGAGTGTCGATAACAGAGGGTACATAACTAAACATAATTAAGAAAAGTTTAAAGTTAACCGAGCAATAATGATAAATGTAATAAATTCTAAAAATTGTGATACGTAAACAGACTGAGGCATTTCAATCGTAACAAATCAACACCACAAAATTCCCTTTCATTACAATAAAATAATAAATAAATAAAATCTTCTAGTCTCGGCCTTAGAGACATGGCACCTGTAGAATTTGGAATTCCATAACAGCCTGCACCTCCTATGCATCGCATAGCGCACTGTCTCTTTGCGAAATGTTGTAGGGACGAGTACTAGGGGTACGTTCGGGTACTAGGTTTGTCTCATTTCAACTCCATCAATCCACAAGATTGTATTTTTTGTCGTTTACATCCAAAAATGTATCTATTCTTAACGAGAATACTTCTTGTGCATTCATCTGTTCAACTCTTGTTCGCCGAAGCTTCTTAGTCCAGTCACTATACTCCGTTTTTACTACAGTGGCAGATGACACTACTTCATTGTTACACCTCTTGCCTTATAAAATTAATATTTTTAAATAATTCTCAAACGTCCTTCTCAATAGGGCTAGTGACCTCCGAAATGTGCTTACCACTGTTAAAAGTATTCATTTTATAAGGCAGGAGGTATAATAACGACCAAATGTCATCGGCAACCCAGGAACAAAATCCAGAAGATTTTCTCAAATTTTGCTTTGATGCTGAACCCGAATTTTGTATTTTTCACTTCGAAAATCGTTGCTTGCACACAGAAAATTTCAAAACTTTTTTCAGTTTTTCTTTTTTGTTTCATTTTTTGAAGTACCAAACATATAATTGGAATTTAGCATAAAAAGCATATATATATATATATATATATATATATATATATATATTTTGTGTTCCGGAATTTTTCCCACCATCGGTCCCTTTTGAGCACCATGTGACTGGACTCATTGGCTGTTAGGGAACAATACAGTCTGTCAACAAGCTTCTAATCAGTAAAAAAAGGTTTCCCAGCAAAATAGCATTGGAAACAGTTGAGCATCTCCTCGCGCTAAACTTTTCGGTGTGCTTTCGCACCTGAAATGGTTCACCCAATATTGCATCTTGAATACGTCACACATATTCTCGAAAATGAAAGACAGTCGGAAGCGTGTTCCTCTACCTCTACCTCTGGGTCCTTCGTCGCCGACATTCTTCATTACCATTTCCAGGTCTGAAATATAGGTTTCACCGGGATCGTACATCGCCCCCGTTCACCCCATCGCGTGTCCTCGCGCGCCGTCGCGAAGACGCGTGAGAAAAATGGGGCCCCACAGCGACGCGTCGCGTCGTGTCCGTCTGGCTCAGGGGCGAGCGACAAGAAGAGCAATGGGGCGCTGGAGAGGAGGATGACACACGCCCTCCGATGTCAGGGCCACGAGATTGCATAAAACTACGTGATTGCGAAAATTGGAACACTGCGAAGTACTGAAATAAACTTTTTGTCACATGTTAGGTACACGGCAATTCGCAATTAGTTATTTATTTATTCAATAGGTTTACAATATATTACAATACATATTCTGTAGTATCCAAAAGAAAGCGATTTCTAAAAATGGATTTATTCCAACCACAATCAGTACAGAGGTAGACAAATTCATTCAAACAATTTTCCAGAAGATGTACCGAAGAATGTCCAAGTCACAATTTCCCGGGAAGATGTCCAAAATCGCAGCCGTTGTGCCGTTCACTGTTCCAAGAGAGAGAAAGTCCGTAACCCTAGCTGTGTCGTCGCACTTGTTCACAACCCACTTATCACTTCATAATGTAGGCAGGCGCTTGACTGTCCCTCTGCTCGCCGGGCGCGGCTCTTATAGCCGGCTCGGGCTGCGGGTCCGCTGGCCAGCTGTCAGGTACGGGTGCGCCCGTCCGCTCCGGAGCCTGGTCGAGCGTGACGGCGCCGCGGCGTCTCCTATCGCCACCCTCTCTTGAGTGGCGCCGGAACTAATTTCCGGCGGCACTTTTAAAGGCACGCAGTCGGACACAGCATATTCCTGTAACCATTTTCCATTTGAGATTGTTATATAATTTTAATTAATTTCTTCTGTTTTACTTTATTTTTACAATCTCTGTGTTTAAATTTTTCTCCCCCATTGTCTT